TCAAGCTTAATACCCATGAACGAGTGGATGAGTTGGCTGGAACTCTTTTAATTTAATTAGAGGTATTGAGTTCAAACCCTGAGAATACAGCTCTGTTAAAACTCATGAGGAAGAGTTTTATCGCTTATTGGTTCTGCTCGGCTCGAATCCGGATTAATCGGTGGCTCAATAGGCTTCTGGATACCGGATGGTCCATAAAAAAAAAAAAGTTTCAAGCTTAATTAATGGTTTAAATTTTAAAGTCGGTAGAGAAATAAAAAAAATTTAATTATAAAAAGTGATAAATCTCAATTATTAGATATTAAGTATTTACCATTAGATAATCCAAACATGCCCCTTAATAAAATACTTTTCATTTGTTGATAAAAAAAAAAAATCCAAACATGTCCTTACATGGAGTATATGAGATTATTTATCTATATTAAATAGACAAACATTTCCTCTCATAAAAAAGAAGAAGAAGAAAAAGATAAATGGATCAGAAAATTAATTAATAGATACAAACCAAGATCTTTTTCAAGTTTTATTAATTGAAATATATATTTCTTTTGGGTTCAAGAATGCAAATGTTAATTGTGGCCGGGTTAAATTAAATTGAATAAGTCTCAGATTCAAATTGAAATAAAAGAGAGATAAATTAAACATCGTCTTAATTGTGAAAATGTAATATTTTTTCTTTTATATTTTTATTTATCTTTTAGAACAATGGTCTCTCCAAATGGTAAAATGCACTTAAAGAAATTTAATTCAATGTGGGGTGCATTTCTAAAATTCCATAGGAAAAAAACTTAACGTCAAGCACTTGAAGTAATGCATGCTAGTCTCCTTCTAAAATAACACTTATACCAACTGGATGTTCTGCAAAAAGGGTTGAAGTGCCAACTGCCAACTAGATTCAAACTCAGAATTGTGAAAATATAGAAAAGGACAAAATGTAATATACTAACATGGTAAGATTTATAAACCACAAAATCGATATTGCTATTTTCTAAGGACAAAATGCATGATTAATAGAAATTCTACTGGATAAGGGATTTTCCCTCCACACAAATGAAAGAATATATGAATAATAGAAACAAGAAAAGCAAAAAATTCAGATAGTTATCATTTAATAATTAGGAATATTATAATTATAATATCACATAAAATTATAAATTTAAAATTTTATATGATATTAATAAATAAATATATCGAATATTACAAATAATTTTTTAAATAAAAAATTTAATTATATATTTATACATTATATTATAATTATAAAATTTTTATTTAATAATATTTTTTAGTGATTTAATTTCTAATTTTATTATTTTCTTACTATTTTAAAAAATAATATAAAATATTTTTTAA